GTGTGGAAGGCGATGTCGTAGACGCCCTTGCTGTGCCCCTCCTGGTGCAGGATCTCCTCCTGCGCCTCCAGGTCCCACAGGCGCCACGAGTGGTCGTAGCTGAGGAACAAACTCTCCTCAGTCACAGTCACTGAGGCTGGAAAAGCCCTCCAGGACCATGGAGTCCAGCTGTTAACCCAGCACCACCACATTCACCACTAACCCACGTCCCCAGGTGCCACCTCTGGGTGTTTTGTGAACACTTCCAGGATGGTGACTCCACCCCTGGGCAGCCTGTGCCAGTGCCTGGCCACCCTTTCTGTGAGGACATTTTTTCCCCAATATCCAACCTAAACCTTCCCTGGTGTAACTTGAGGCTGTTTCTCCTGGTCTCCATGTAACTCCAGGGAGAACAACAGGATATTTCACCAACCCTGGGAGCATTTTATTCCCAGGGTCTCACACAGGGGCAGGGAAAGGAATCCCAACGACCTGCTGTCCCTGACACTGCAGGTCAGCTGTGCTCACAATGGCCAAGCCCTGNGAGAGCAGCACAGCCCTGCTCGAGGCTCTGAGTGCTCCCACTGCCATGGCCTTGGTGTCCTCCTGCCTGTCCCTTTGGGAAGTTTTGCTCAGGGAATAGCAGCAGTTGTTCCTCCTGATTAAACCACTGGGATTTGCCCCATCCCTGGAAGTGTCCAAGGCCAGGTTGGATGGGGCTTGGAGCATCCTGATCTAGTGAGTGGCATCTGTGAGTTGAAACTCTTTAAGCTTCTTTAAGGTTCCTTCCACCACAAAGCAGTCTGGAATTTCATTTCAGTAAAAAACACAGGGAAAAAAACAATGGATGCCATTGAGGAGCACAAGCTTCTTGCAGAAATCTTGTAAGGGATCCTTTGCTCCAGGGGTTTCCAAACCAGGAATTCAATCCTGTAGGTTTTCATCCCTGTGAGGGATCAAGAGGATGAAGCTATCCCACGGGCAGGGCTGAGGATGGGAGCAGGCTGGACACTTCTTATCTGCCTGCAGTCTTAGCTTGTTGGCTCTAATGGGTGTGGCCATGTCCTCAGTCACCTGTTGAAAATCCTTTGGGCTTTGATGTTCTCCAGACTGTGAGCACGAGCAGGGACAAGGGCAGTAACCTTTTATCCCAACCCACCTTCCTGTCTCGGTAAAACAACTCCCTGGGGCTCTACCACTGCCTGTTTCTGCAGCTCTGGGACCTGAGGCAGACCAGGGGCCGGGTGTGTGAGTACAGAGGGCATTTCCAGACCACCACCTCGTGTGTGTTCCTGCCCCGGGGCCCCACGCTCGCCCCCAGCATTGCCACATCCTCCAGCGACAGCACAGTGAAGCTCTGGGACCAAGGCACTGCAGGTAGGGGAGGCTCCTGCCCACTCTGCTCCTTTCTCCTGGATAACAAACCCACTTCCCCCAGTTGTGTCTCCTCGTGGTGCTGGGCAGGGTGACTCTGCAATCTCTGGAGTTCACTCCGAGCCTGCAGGGCAGGGTGGAGAAATGCCCGGAGCAAAGCCAGGGCTCAACAAACACGAAGGAGCTGCAAATCTCAGATTACAGGGATCTTCTCTCGTCTAAAAGAATCACCAGGGAACTTTTAAAGGTACATCAGAGTTAAGCCATGAAAGGACAAATTATAAAAAGACAAAAAGAGCAGGGGAACACCAGAGATTTCTGCAGGTACAAGTAGAAAGTTGTAAAGAACAGAATTTGTACTGGCTGGTCAGCCAACACCCTCATTCTGGCTGTCCTCCTGAAGGGGAATCGTGGGCAGTTTGGGGTTAAACCTGGTGGTGAGGGTGAGTCCCTCCCGAGTTGGACACAAAGGGGTTTGTTTGCCTGCCAAGCCCTGCCATGGCAGCAGGTTCTCAGTAACCCTTGTGCTGCAGGCAGAGACCTTTGGGAGCTGTTCAGCTTCACAGCATTAGACACTCCCCAGGGCTAAGCCCCTCTCCAAGGGAACTCATTTAAGATGGGATGAAAAAAGAAACCTGAGGCTTTCCTGCAGAGAAGGACCTTCTGTTCTCTAACCTGTTCCTTTCCTGTGCACCCAGGGTGGCTGTGGGGTGGCAGCAGCTTTGATCCTCTTGCCTGCCCAGCTGGGTGAGCCATGATCCAGCTGCTCTGGAAGGGTGCAGGTCACAGGAGAGGCTCCAGGCCGAGGGCAGCTCTGTTTGCAGCTCAGCCTGGCCCTGGGGTCTCTGCACAAAATCTCTCAGGGGGTTTGATAACAGACAAACAGAAAGGCTCCTGTGTAAATCTTATTTCTCTTTCCCTCTTGGAGATTCATCAAAACCGTGTGGCGAGTGTAGCACAGTCCTTAGGAAAACTGTCAGAAATTTGGGAGAAAAAGGGGTGTTGGAAATGGCTCCAGGCACAACCTGCAGCTCTGCCCAGTGGGGGCTGTAGGCCCATCCAGCCCTGCTTCCCCTCCCAGGCAGGGGCAGAGCCTGAGCCCAGTGTGGATCCCTGTCAGCCTGGGCAGAGCACAGGGGGATTCTCTGTACCAGGGGCACACCCCAGGGTGTTCAGGTGTGG